TCAAATCCTAATTACAAGTTTAATAAAAATAAAAAATATTTAAAGAAAACTCACATTTGAAAGTATAGATATCACAATTCAATCCTTCGAGCCGGGTGGGCACCAATTCTACCACATATATAGGAGAACCCTCAACCTAAAGCTTAATCATAACATGCGGAAGTGAACAAAACATCCTACTAATATGTTGAAAACCCCTTAACTTGATTTAAAACCAATTTTATTTGCAAGAAAAACACACTAACACTATCCAAGGTACTAGTCTAAACATGTACAAAAGCTTCTAAGAAGATACAATTTATAAAGGAAATAAGACACATCTCCCACCATAAGGGAAGGTTAGTAGAAGTTGTCGGAGATCACCATCATCTTCACCTATGGAACATCACTGAATCCTACTACTAGACTATGACAAGTGGCATAGCAAGAGCAATATCAGTACAAACAATACATACTAGTAGAGATTATCGGTCGATCCGAACCTACCATATAATATAAGTAGACATTCAAAAGGAAACATGCAATATGAAAGTTACACAGCCCTAAGTCTTCATTCACATGTTTTTACCGTCCTAGGTATGATGCCCATAAACTAGTACACTTTGATCCCAGCCTCCTACCACATTTCACTGCCAACTCGATCATTAAACATTCAACCCTTAAAATTGTCACTCTTAAGGTTTCCAGGCCGACCCTTTAGGTCACCATCATATCATATCATAGCATAACCCCTCTATCACATAGATATTCCCAAATACTAGACTACCACTAACTTTGTTAATGAACCTACTACACTTCCTCAAGTTCTCATGCAAAGACTGACTCAATCACCTTAGTCATAAGCCATGCAATCTCCAAAAATTCACAAGATTTAATGCAGTAAAAATGAGTCTAGCTACTCAGTTAAAGAAAATCTAACCTATCCATTGCTCCCTTGCCCCGGGTGCCTTTAGAGGTTTTTTAGAGCTACTCTCATTTATTCTCTCCCTTCCAAAAGTGGGAGGAAAATAAAAGAAGTCATATAACTAGGGTATGATTTCCTGTCAGCCCCCTATAGCGGTGCGACCATATAGCGGGAGGCTTTCTGCTACGGCGGGCTGACGTCAGCCCGGTCAATTTTAAAGTAAATCAATTTCATCGTGTGCTCAAATTTTTAAATTTGAAACCTTGTTTTCAGGATTTTGAAATTTCACACAGCCCTTGAGTAACGAAGAATCGGATAGTTACAATAGACTTTGTAGTTTATGTTATTTTTGATGTATTTCAAGAGTTTGGTGTAATTTTTGAGGTATAAGTTCAGTTATGTTCTATCAATTTTTTTGGTCTTGAATAGTTATTACGTTGAAGTTTCTGGAGTTTCGACGAAAACTTTTGATATTTTTGGTTAATACTTTTTTTTCATGGTATTGTGAATAAATTTAATAATGACTTTTGTAAATATTCGATGAATTTTGTTTCTCTTAATTATGTTTTTCGGGTTAGTTTATTTTCTTCTTTTTTTAATAACAACATGAGTTGATATAGAAAGGTTATCCAACTTTAAAAATTTATCCAGTAAAATTATTTAACTTTTTATTTTGTATTAATAAAATCACTCAACTTAGCATTTGCATCAATTAAATTATTTAACTAAATTTATCATTAAAAAATATATTTCATGACAAATAAATTATTTTTTATGTCAGGTAAATATAAATCCTAGAAATAAATAAAATTTTAAAAACTCATTAAAAAGTTTAAGAGGCAAACTTGATTAGTGAACCAGATATTATGATATTATTGTACAATATTATATCTTGATTTAGTAAATAAAAAGAAATTCGTTATTGGTGAAACAAATATTATGATATTACTGTGTATTTCATATTCTAAGAACTCTTAATAATTTAAAAAGTCTAGTGCTTTTAAACCAAAACTTACATATTTATATATGTTCGGGATTTTTCCTGAGTTTCTTATCATAATTGTGTTTTTTTTTTTCCTAAAAGGAAAACACAAAGTCTTCATATTTGGCTAATCTTTTTCTTGTAGGAAAAAACTTATGAATCTATAAATGGAGGCTCATTCCTTCTAACTTTGTATCATTCACATTAATGTAGTCTTAGGGACTAATTTGAGAGTTTTGTATAGGTGGAGAAACGTACACTTGTGTGGACCTCTTTTTATTCTGAGTGAATTGTATGAGGTTATTTCTCTCGATATTATTTACTTTTTATATGGTGGATTGCTCATCTCCTCTCGTGGATGTAGGTCGGTTGATCGAACCACATTAGATGTTTATGTCTCTTTTGATATATTTATCGTTTTTCTTCTTACTCACAATCTTTTAAGGTTCGCTTTATTAGCTTTCGCATGACACCTAATTATTTTGATCCTAATAATACAATTAGTTAAGTATACGTGGTTTGCACGTCTCGCATCCGCAATCATAAGCAAGTAGCTCAGGCAACTCCACAACATTAATTACATAATAAGTGTAAGATATATACTCATCAACACAACTAGAAAGTATTTGCATATAACATGGCTCTAAATTCATAAACTTATATGCAGGTATCAATATGATCCGTAGGCATAACTACTTAATTATCTTTCTATTTTATTATGCATTTCTCGACCACATAAACAATATTCTAGACACGCAATTAGTAGGTGTCCTTCTCAAAGTTAATATATTATGACTTTGTATGATTCTTCATTGTCATATGGTTCCGTTTTCTGGACGAGAGAACTATTGAAAACACTTCTGAATTTGACGTGAATTATTAGTTTTATCTTTAAATTATTTAAATAGTAAAAGTGTGTAATAAGTCATTATGATCGTTTAAGTGTGTAACTGACTTTTCGGAACAAATTCAAAGGAAAATCTATGTCTTTTCCGTGCTAGTTATGATGATGGAGGTGACGACAATGATAATGACTGTCTTGGTGGCAGTGGATATAATTATATTGATGGAGGAGGTAAATATGGTAGTAGATGATAGTATTGGTTGGCACCAATGGTGGTTGCGATAACATAGGTGGTTGACGACAATAATGGTGATTGATTGATAGTGATGATAGCAGACGTGGATATAACTATAATGGTTGAGGTGGTAGATATGCTAGTGATTGACAGTCATGGTAGTTGTGATTGCAGAGGAGATTGGTGGTGATGATAAATGATTTTGGATAGAGCGTGGTGATGAAAATCAATTATCTACACAAAAACACCTTTTAATGATATTAAGACTTTATTCAAAATTGTAATTATTAAAACCTTTTCAGATCAAATGAGCGCTTAAATCATAATGAAATTAAAATAAATATTTAATTTGGTTTGATTTTAAATTTTGAAAAATCACAATATTTGATATTACTAAAATCCAATCAAAGAAAAACCAAAATCAAATCAATAATATAGCACAAAAAATCTAATCTAAACATTTCAAGGAGTTGGTTTTTCTTTAAAAAAATACAGATAGATATAGATAGTGATTACTTAATTTTTTCTATTTAATTGTATACATTTTTCGATCACAAAAACAATGTTGACACATAATTATGTGTCTTCTCAAAGTTAACATATTATGACTTTGTATGACTCTTCATTGTTATATGGGTTCCGTTTTCTCAATCAACCATGTGTGTCTGTTGTGTCGACTACTCCGACTTTATTTATTTTTATTAAGATTAAAATACTTGAATTTGAAGTATATTTGAATAATTATAATATTGTTTTTAAATTTAATATATATAAATAAATAATAAATCTTCTTTTACTTTAGCACACTTAAGATGGAAATTTTATTTTTAAGCTAAACAAAACGAAAGTTTTATTTTTAAACACATACAACACCATCATGAGAATGCACAAATAAAAATATTTAAGTTAAATAAGATGAAAGTTTTATTTTTAAGAATGAATAACTTAAGTTTGCAAAGAAAATCTTTTGAAAAAAAACTATATAAAGTGAACGGTATTTTTGTAAGAATAACTTGTTCTTAAAATTTATGCAATGCATATTATTTTGAATACAACAAATCAAACAGTCAATAAGAAATAATTTCAAATAACTTATTTCATCATAATTAATCACAGCATAACTTATCTCATCATAATTAATTTAGCATAATTAATCCCATCATAACTTGTATTCAGACCAAATGATCCTTAAGGGTTTTAGATTAAACTAGAATAAATTAGAGTAACTGAAATGCAAGTTCAGCATGTAACATATGAAATAGAGGTGGAAGTCTAGATCGATGCACAAGTCATATCCAAGAGATAAAGTTCCAAGTATCATGAGTCTATAATTCAAAAAATAAAGAGATTGACAATGATGTCAGACTTCGTATTGAAGCGGGATGAATGAAATGGTAGCTTTGCATCTAAGATGTTGTGTTATAGTTTCCAAGACTTAAACATAAGTCTATAGATTGATGGTTAAACTTACTTTAATGTATAGAGGAGAGTATTGGCCAATACATTTTACTTTTAAATAAATACCAAATTAACAATTTTATAAGAAATGTAACATAAGTAGCTGCTTAAAAGTCTTAGATATTCACAAAAATCACAAGTCAATTTTTAAATTTACCAAATATAAAGGTGGAAAAGGATTACACAAAACACGGTTTGATAGGCTATTGATAAAATACTACATTTTATAAATGTTATTCCCCATCTTATAACTAATTAAAGAAGTCTAACAAAATATAATTGACAGAAAAACAATGAGGATAACATGCTTTTAAATATAACATTGTTTTTATTAATAGAGTACTTAAAGGTAAATTTCAAACTTGCAATTATTCATAATATCTTACATATATCAAACATTGGGAATACAATCCCTAGAAGGAGAGGGAGTACATATGTAATACATTCTTCAAACATAATGCAACTTATTTCACACACTAGCTAACTAGTTAGAACTAGCTAGCTAGCTAATATAACACAAACACACACATATATGATATATGTATGTGTGTAAACACACACATGTTTTTCATATGTATCACTCGAGAAGGTGACTCTCAATATCTTTTGTCAGATCAATGAGAAAACCCAATAGAACAACAGGTTCTGGAGTTTCTTCAGTTTTCTTCTCGTATAGAAATGTCCATGTAGTCCGATGCTGATCACTTGACGTAATAACAGTGAAGGAATCATACAACTCTAACACATCTCCACCAATCACTTTCCAAGTGATTGATTTACTTTCAGGATCAATGGCTTCAATCACATGCTTTATAATCTTATCTTGTCCATCTATACGATTAATGAAGTCAAAAACATAAGAGATAGTTAATAGGCTACTCCATCTTTTAAACCCTCATAAAATATATAAACATTCACAATTACATACTTTTAGCTTATTTCTTTAGGTTTTTCTTTTATTTTCTTTTTCTCCAATGAAATCTGTAATATATTTGTACAATGTCTTACGATATTTGATTGGTGAGTAAAAATATTTTATGGAAAGTATATATTAAAGTTGAATCATATTTCAGAACATAATTAGGAGTGTTATGGTAAAAAAAATTATTATCAAAGATTAATAATGTTGAAATATTAGCTAGAGCAAACAAAAGACACTAGTTCAGAATTTAAGGGTGTGTTTGGTTCGAAGGAAAATGTTTTTCTCGAAAACAAGTGGATTTCTAACTTATTTTCTCATGTTTGGTTGGTGAGTAGAAAATATTTTTCAAAATATATTTTTTGGTGTTTGGTTTGTGAATGAAAAACATTTTTAAGAAACTATCTTTTATTTTTAACTAGAGAGTATACAATAATTTTTTACCGGAAAACCAACCTCAATAATCGATCTAGGATATGAACTCGACACACGAACTAGGACACACAACCCCGACGACAGATCTGAAATCCTACCCTAAGATCTGAACCAAGACTTGATCCCCACTTTTGACCCGAGACCCGACATTTGAATTGAGACTGGATATCCGATCCAGGACCTGACCCCTACCCCCGAACTTGAACACGATCTATTAATTCAGATTTTGACTTTGACACTCGATTCGAGACTCAACTTCTAAATCAGGATCCGACCCCGACAACCAAGACCTGATCCCCACTTTGTTTTTAAAAAAAGAGAAATATTTAAAGTTTAATTATTATTTATTTTTTGAATGGGGGGTGGGGGTTCGGGGTACGGGGTGAGGTAAGAAAAAATTGTAATTTGAGGTTGGAGGACAGTTTTGAAAAATATTTTCCTTAATTTTTGAAGGGAGGTCATTTTTCTTAAATTTAAGAAAAATAAATTGATTTAGAAAATATTTTTCAAAACATTTAATCCAACCAAACACGTGAAAATTAACAAGCATTACTCTAAATTTGACGGATGCAACATTTATGTTGCAAACATGGGTTAAGAAGTTGATTACTCATTACAATTTTAGTGATTTTGCACATTTTTATTTCCCGTTGAACCTTATAGAGTACATAAACTTTGGGATCAAGTAATATGATGTTAAAAATTAAGATACTTATATAGAAATGGACTTTCCTCAATCATCAAATAGCCTTTTTATGAAAAATACCATTGAAAATCAGCTTTCTCCTAAAATTAAACACACCTAAACTTATAAAAAATTGGTCCATATATAGAGAGAGGGGAAGTGTATATATTACCATCGTTATATTTCCAGCTAACAACTGAACCAACCTTTATGGTTTCACCTTTAAGAAACTCAAAACTTAGTATCTTGCAAGGGGTTATGTTGGGTATAAGATGAGATTTGGTGTGAAAATTGTAATGACCCTAAAGGCCATTTTTGGAAATTTTCATAAAATGACCGTTTTACCCCTCCCGATAGTTGCCCCGAGTCCTAATTCTTGTATTTTCGAAGTTTGTTTGAAGGAAAATTGATGAAAAGTTGAGTTTTTGGAAAGTTGAGTTTTTAAGAGTTAAAGTTTGGTTAAAAGTACTATTTCGAGTCATTTGGAGTTTCGAGACTCGAATTAGATTTCTGTCGATTCCAGCAGTTTTAGAATGTCAAAACAGATCTATTAGAATTTACGGAGTCGAATTTGGAGTTAAAACGAAGAATTGAGGGCCTAAGTTGCAAAAATTGTGAAATTTTGATCAAGAGTTGACTTTGGTCAACAAACGAGGTTCCGATGCTCGAAATGGAATTCCGAGGGCACCGTTGGATTCAGGGGGTGATTCTAAGTCTAGAATGAGTCTTGGTTGAATTTTTAGAGTCCCCGAGTGCGTTTCGAGCTTTTGAGCCTAAAGTTAGTTTCTTGACGCCTTATCGGATGCCGGGTCAAGGAGACCTCGAATTCAAATTCCGACGATTTCATTGAGTCCGAAATGTCATTTTCAAGCTAGTAGCATATTTGGTTTGTGTTCGGGAAGTGCCAAATGAGTTTTGGGTGAGCTTTTAAGCTTCTTGGATGTTTTGACACTATTTCAGCAAATTATGGCAACTAAAGGGTTCATTATTAGTTTTAAAGGTCAAAAATTTATTCCGAGGGTTCTGAAATTTTGAGCATGAATTATAGGACTTATCTGCAAATTTTGGTGCATTTTCGCTAACCCGAGATTGGACTTTTATCGCAAATAAGAAATAATTGTTTACCGAGTAGAAATGATATTTGACTGGGCAAATGAGCATGAAATTGAGCTCCGATTAAACGAGCAGGTCCGTATCATTATTTAAGACATTTGCAAAAAAAGAATCGGGTCATTTCACTATCGTATGAGGAAATTAAGGCCTTTCTAGTGAAACATTAACTGCTGTTTTTCTGGTGCATAACAGTCATGTACTGTTATAAAAATCTCAGACTGTGTTCATTTGGTATTTTAAACATATCGGGAGTTCTAGAGATCGGAATGGAGTGATTCTTACGGGTTTCTTCTTGAATTAATATGAGGGTTAGTATTCAATCTTCAATTCGACATTTTCTCATAATTTGTTTATCTGGGTTTTTTTTCTATCCGTAAACCTCTTGGGAAACATTGGGGTTTTATCGATTTGGACTCCCTTTTTGATGAAAAAGGTATATTTACGATTCTTATGTTATGGGTAAACTGATTTTAACATAAAATTATTGATTCATCGATTATTTTCATCATATTAACCGCGTACAATTTGGACTTTCCTGGTAACGTTAAAGTTTGATAAATTGAGAATTTCAAGGTCGATCTTAACTCCGTTTTTGATGAAATTTCATATTTGAACTTATCTAAGCATGGGTAAGATGTTTTTCAAGAGATATTTCATTTTTGAGTCGGAGTTTCGGATCCGAATATTTTAGGCTTCTTCAAGAACGTGAATTTTCCTTCAAATTGAGTTTGTGAATTGATTTCAACTCCGTTTTCAAATTGGTTTTCACCCTTAGCTTCCAAATACTTTAAGGATCATTTTACATAAAAAATTTCCAGATTTGGGTATCGTTTTCCGGTATGAGACTTTTGGACCGTTTTGCCCTTTTTCCCTAAATTTCTTGATTTTGGTGTCATTGGACTCGAATTGTGATTGTGAATAATTGTTTGGATAGATTACCGTGATCCGGATTCTACTCGGAAAGGAAAGGCTCAAGTCAAGTAACTTTTGGAGTTCGTTTTAAGGCAAGTGGCTTCCAAACTTTGTAAAACTCTTAGACTACGCATGACTACTTTCCTAATTGTGTTGGGAGTAATGGGTATTGAGGATGAGTTTTATTTGTTGATTGAAATTGTTGTAAATGAAAGATGGGGAATAAAACGAGCTAAATATGTTATATGTGACTTGAATTTGTTGAATAAGTCATGTGATAACTGATATTGAGGGGATAGAAGAGCATGAGTAGGCTATGATTGATACAGACATTGATGTTGAGACAGATGATGTGTAATACTATGATGTGGTCGTGATATGGTTGTCATTGAGACAGGTGATGTGTAATACTATGATGTGGTCGTGATATGGTTGTGATTGAGACAGGTGATGTGTAACACTATGATGTGGTCGTGATATGGTTGTGATTGCGACAAATGATGTATAATACTATGATGTGATCGTGATATGATTGTGATTGATGACATGTGCATATTCATTATTCATCCCTGTGTGAACTATCTGTTGCATGAGTTCTGAGACACTAATATGAAGATTGATGGATATGAGACACAGTTGAGACTAGCTCCGGCTAGAGATATATGAGATGGACTTGTTCTGGCTAGCGATTTGGATGCCGATGGGATCTGGTTCCGGCGGTGATACATGTTCCATGTGTGGCCCCCATGGGTTCTGATTTGAGTATTCAGCGCGGACTGATTACGTCAACAGATGTGTATCGTAGGACAGACATGCATCACGATTACATGACATCATTATTGCATTTTGCATCGCATTTGCCTTATCTTTGTCTGTGATGTGTGGATTGTATCGATTTACCCTTCTTATGTGGAATTTGATCTACCTGCTCTTATTTGTTGATCTGAGGTTGATAAGGATATACTGTTGGTTCTGGCTGTTGAATATGATCTGTTTAGTATAGGTTGGTTGGTTTGCTGCTAGATTGAAGTTTCGGTGGTTCGGTTGGGATTGAAAGGAGTTGTTTGTAGCTGCTAGTTTTGCTTAGTTTAGAGTTACTTGCGAGTACCTGTGGTTTTTGGTACTCACCCTTGCTTCAACACAATTGTGTAGGTTGACAGCTCTCTCAGATTCGGCTTAGTATTTTCTTTAGCAGATTGAGCTTCGGGACATACTCGAGAGGTAGCGGTTCAATCCAGACGTGCCCTTGAGTTATCTTTACTTCCAGTTTTGTTCTATTCGAGAACTATACTCTTAGACTGGTATATTTTTAGTCGAATTCTGTATTTAGAGGTTTGTACATGTGACAACCAAATTCTGGGTAGTGTTGAGTCTTAATTAAAGTCTTCCGCTTATTTATTTTCTTTTATTCTCATATTTCTACTTCTCTATCGTTGTGGTTGGGTTAGGCTGACGTGTCCGGTGGGAAATAGACACGTGCCAGCACATCCGAATTTGGGGTGTGACAAAATGGTATCAGAGCCCAGGTTCATAGGTCTCACGTGTACAAGCCAAGTCTAAGTAGCGTCTCGAGGATCGGTACGGAGACGTCTGTACTTATCTTCGAGAGGCTATGGTGACTTTTAGGAAATATCTTTATCAATTGATTCTCTATCGTGCGTCTTTGGTCTGATCTAATTCTTATCACTTCACTCTGTTCTCTCTCTCATTGTAATGACTCGTGGTTGGTCCTGCGTGGGTTCGAGTTTAGGTGTCATCGCGTGATTTTAGTGTTAGATCTGGTTTTGATGCGGGGTGATAGGCTTGTGGAAAGGAAGTGTGATCAGACATGGAATTCTCTTCGAGACGAGTGAGTAAGGTTGTGGCCAAGGGATGTGTTTTGAGTTTATGGTATTGAAAGATGAATATTTATTAAGAGACTTCAAGAACGTCTTAGTTCTCCAGTCATTTATTCAACAACGAGAATAGTGCATGTGTGACTTATACGACGGAAGTGGCTAGACAATGAATAATGATGTAAGTAAGAGAATGACTATGTTGAGAGTGTTGCGACTTTGGAAACTACAGTTTGTGAAGTTCGTCATAAGGGAATGGATTGCGTAGTATATTATGATGATGAAGTTGCACCAACCAAAATCAGAAGTTCTACGGTGGTTTTATAGTGTGGGTGTATATCATTACAGGGTCATTGTACGGCGACTACGATGGTACTCGTGTTATCTTGGTTAGGGTTATGGGCTATGTTGTTTCTGTCATCGATCGGGCTTACGAAATTGTGCATATCATTTTCGGCCGGAGACTGAAGTGTTTTGGTAATGTTTTGCAACTATTTAATGAGTGTAAATGAACATGTTGTTTGAGTACGACCTTCTCAATGGATCTGATGTCTTCTAGTGGTAGATTTAGCGGTTGTTCATGATGTGGTACTAGTGATATATGGAAGCGGAGAAATCTGAGTTGTCAGTTGTTTCACCTAATCGGGTCAAAAGGTTGATGTTGCATTCTCGATTGAAAAATCAAATGGTTGCTACTATGAACGCTTGAGTTAAGCATCAATTATAAGGAATGTTATAGTGGTGGATTAAGTGAATCGATCCTGTCTTGTTTCTAGGACGAGGTACGACTCTTGGGTGGTCATGATTATATTGGGAACTAATGACTTCATGATGAATCAAAAGAAATGGGCAACAATAAGCCATGGATGAAGAAAGTTTTAACAAGTATACTCGTGTAAAGGCAATTAAGGATTTTAGCGAGAAGGTACGATTAAAAAGGAATCGGGTTGGTTTTGTCAAGATGTGGGTTGGCAAGGTAAGAGATGATTGGTTGTATCAACTTTTTAGCCATTGGAAGGACTTTTGCATGGTTTGAGTTGTAGCAGTTAAATACTTGTGATTGTAGAAGAGTTCGATGAAGTTTCATTTGAGAAGTTTGACTTAAGGTAAAAGGTAATATGCGGTGGATGTTTGGCCAAGAAACTATAATGATAAATGATTTACGGGAAGAACAAGAGTCTTGCGCGATGGATATAAGTTAAGAGATGTGAAGGAATAAGACATCACGTGTGGATCCTTAGTTTGAAGTTGAGGATTGTGTAAATTTCTGCTTTTATGTTAGATATGACAATGCAAGGTAGACTGGTTCACCATAAATGTATGATGTGTTATCAGCTACTTTCTGAACACTTGGTATTGGTATTGGTGGTAAACGTTGATGTATGAGGAATTCTGCAGTTTTTGAATTGGTTTGAATTGTTCAGCTTATGGTAGGTGGCTTACGAGTGTCCAACCGGAAGGACTTATAGCTCTACATGGTTATTGAGGATTTTGAACTGGGTTGATAACTCTATTTATGGAATTATCCAGACTGTTGTAACGCGTTACATAGACCTTGATGGTAAATAGAGGTTGTGTGCTCATAGTATACAGAATTATTGGAGTGACCAAGAACTGCTTCAAGTTTCGGCATGAGATATATGATGGTTTGAATAATAGTTGAAGCTGGGTAAGTAAAGATCGCGTGTAATCGATATTGGTCGTGATTCAATAGTTTCATCTCAATGAAAAGGTACTATGACATTTAGAACTTGGATTATTAGCGATTGGGTGAGACCCATATCGATCGTGGAATGCTTCAATGGAAGGAGGAAGGACCATAATTCAAAATTTTGGAAGCAACGATGTGTTTCTAAGAATGACTGGATACTAGTGGCCGTCTGAGGGTAAAGTAACTGGCCGGTGTGACTTTGATGTTCTGGTAGTATTGATATTGTTGGCTTTAATGGATTATTGTAAAGAGTATGCGAAAATGGATAAATTGAGTATGTCTATGATTGTTATGAGGCCGGACTAGCTATTGTGAAGTCAGACGAATGGGAAGGTGTGTTATGGACATTGTGGAAGGGATATCTTGGGTTGTTCAATTTCAGTTTTGTATATTCTTATGTGACCACCTACCTCATTTCAGACATGGTTTGGATTATGATTCTCTATCTATGTTCAGACGTGTTTTTACTTTTGTGGGTGGATGCCTAGTGGTGAATCGGATGGACCGATTCATGCTCTCTTGGCAGAATAGAATACTTGTGTGGGTGGGCCGATTCAGAGATAGTGGGTTCGATGTGGTATTGGGGTGGTGGAAGGTTTTCGGAAGTTCTACAAGCGTCATCTTGCTTTTGGAAAGGTATAGAGAGGCTACCGTATGTGGCTACAGTTTTTGGCTATTTTGGTATTTATCTTGCCCCTGTATGCATGGTTCAGCTACGTGTGGTTCGATGCTTAGTGGCCCGTGGCCTAGTTCTTCCTTGCTGGAATTGTCTACAATTACGGATCCTACTTCAGTGTTTTGGTGGCATCCTTAGAGGTTTTATATGCTTGGATGGGTCGATCATCAGTTGGATACTTGATCATTTCTATCTGTGGGTTAGATAAGCGTGATTATTCCAAGATGGGTGCTCGATGAATATGCATCAGATTAGTATGACTCAGACTTGTGGAAATGTGGTAATGAGAATGGATTTTTTCTAGAGTCGGTGATGGTTCGTGTGTTGTGAGAGCTTGGTGACTGGTTTAGGTTCATCCTTGATTTTTCTGTGGTTATTGATTCCAAATTTCTCTCTGGTTACATGATTAGGGGTTTGTCATGGTAAATATGTTGTGGTTTTGAGATCTTAGATTCAGATTCAGTCTTTGAGTTAGTCGGTGGTTTAAATAACCCTTTGAGGGTTAAGTTGTCAAGATTGATTTGGGAATCCTTTTATGGATTTTTGGGATAAGGTTTAAGAATGGGTTCGTTTGGAGTAGTAATTATTGAGTTCGGAAATTTCACCTCGGGGTGATAGCGTCGAGTATTTTTGCCTTCTTCTACTTTATGTTCGAGGACGAACATGATTTTAGTGGTGAATAATGTAATGACCCTAAAGGTCATTTTTGGAAATTTTCATAAAATGACCGTTTTACCCCTCCCGATAGTTGCCCCGAGTCCTAATTGTTGTATTTTCGAAGTTGGTTTGAAGAAAAATTGATGAAAAGTTGAGTTTTTGAAAAGTTGAGTTTTTAAGAGTTAAAGTTTGGTTAAAAGTGCTATTTCGAGTTATTTGGAGTTTGAGACTCGAATAGATTTCCGTCGATTCCAGCAGTTTTAGAATGTCGAAACGGGTCTATGAGAATTTACGGAGTCGAATTTGGAGTTAAAACGAAGATTTGAGGTCCTAAGTTGCAAAAATTGTGAAATTTTGATCAAGAGTTGACTTTGGTCAACAAACGAGGTTCCGTGCTCGAAATGGAATTCGAGGCACCGTTGGATTCAAGGGGTGATTCTAAGTCTAGAATGAGTCTTGGTTGAATTTTTAGAGTCCCCGAGTGCGTTTCGAGTTTTTGAGCCTAAAGTTAGTTTCTTGACGCCTTATCGGATACCGGGTCAAGGAGACCTCGAATTCAAATTCCGACGATTTCATTGAGTCCGAAATGTCATTTTCAAGCTAGTAGCATATTTGGTTTGTGTTCGGGAAGTGCCAAATGAGTTTTGGGTGAGCTTTTAAGCTTCTTGGATGCTTTGACACTATTTCAGCAAATTGTGGCAACTAAAGGGTTCATTATTAGTTTTAAAGGTCGAAAAATTATTCGAAGGTTCTGAAATTTTGAGCATGAATTATAGGACTTATCTGCAAATTTTGGTGCATTTTCGCTAACCCGAGATTGGACTTTTATCTCAAATAAGAAATAATTGTTTACCGAGTAGAAATGATATTTGACTGGGCAAACGAGCATGAAATTGAGCTCCGATTGAACGAGCAGGTCCGTATCATTATTTAAGACATTTACAAAAAGAATCGGTCATTTCACTATCGTATGAGGAAATTACGGCCTTTTTAGTGAAAGATTAACTGCTGTTTTTCTGGTGCATAACAGTCATGTACTGTTATAAAAATCTCAGACTGTGTTCATTTGGTATTTTGAACATATCGGGAGTTCTAGAGATCGGAATGGAGTGATTCTTACGGGTTTCTTCTTGAATTAATATGAGGGTTAGTATTCAATCTTCAATTCGACATTTTCTCATAATTTCTTTATCTGTTTTTTTTTTCCTATCCGTAAATCTCTTGGGAAAAATTGGGGTTTTATCGATTTGGACTCCCTTTTTGATGAAAAAGGTATATTTACGATCCTTATGTTATGGGTAAACTGATTTAACATAAAATTATTGATTCATCGATTATTTTCATCATATTAACCGCGTACAATTTGGACTTTCCCGGTAAAGTTAAAGTTTGATAAATGAGAATTTCAAGGTCGATCTTAACTCCGTTTTTGATGAAATTTCATATTTGAACTTATCTAAGCATGGTAAGATGTTTTTCAAGAGATATTTCATTTTCGAGTCGGGGTTTCGGATCCGAATATTTTAGGCTTCTTCAAGAACGTGAATTTTCCTTCAAATTGAGTTTGTGAATTGATTTCAACTCCGTTTTCAAATTGTTTTCACCATTAGCTTCCAAATACTTTAAGGATCATTTTACATCAAAAATTTCCAGATTTGGGTATCGTTTTCCGGTATGAGACTTTTGGACCGTTTTGCCCTTTTTCCCTAAATTTCTTGATTTTGGTGTCATTGGACTCGAATTGTGATTGTGAATAATTGTTTGAATAGATTATCGTGATCCGAATTTACTCGGAAAGGAAAGCTCAAGTCAAGTAACTTTTGGAGTTCGTTTTAAGGCAAGTGCTTCCAAACTTTGTAAAACTCTTAGACTACGCATGACTACTTTCCTAATTGTGTTGGGGAGTAATGGGGATTGAGGATGAGTTTTATTTGTTGATTGAAATTGTTGTAAATGAAGATGGGGAATAAAACGAGCTAAATATGTTATATGTGACTTGAATTTGTTGAATAAGTCATGTGATAACTGATATTGAGGGGATAGAAGAGCATGAGTAGGCTATGATTGATACAGACATTGTGTTGAGACAGATGATGTGTAATACTAGATGTGTCGTGATATGGTTGTGATTGAGACAGGTGATGTGTAATACTATGATGTGGTCGTGATATGGTTGTGATTGAGACAGGTGATGTGTAACACTATGATGTGGTCGTGATATGGTTGTGATTGAGACAATAATGTGTAATACTATGATGTGATCGTGATATGATTGTGATTGATGACATGTGCATATTCATTATTCATTCATGTGTGAACTATCTGTTGCATGAGTTCGAGACACTAATATGAAGATGAATGGATATGAGACACAGTTGAGACTAGCTCCGGTAGAGATATATGAGATGGACTAGCTTCGGCTAGCGATTTGGATGCCGATGGGATCTGGTTCCGGCGGTGATACATGTCCATGTGTGGCCCCCATGGGTTCTGATTTGAGTATTCAGCGCGGACTGATTACGTCAACAGATGTGTATCGTAGGACAACATGCATCACGACTACATGACATCATTATTGCATTTTGCATCGCATTTGCCTTATCTTTGTCTGTGATGTGTGGATTGTATCGGTTTACCCTTCTTATGTGGAATTTGATCTACCTGCTCTTATTTGTTGATCTGAGGTTGATAAGGATATACTGTTGGTTCTGGCTGTTGAATATGATCTGTTTAGTATAGGTTGGTTGGTTTGCTGCTAGATTGAAGTTTCGGTGGTTCGGTTGGGATTGAAAGGAGTTGTTTGTAGCTGCTAGTTTTGCTTAGTTTAGAGTTACTTGCGAGTACCTGTGGTTTTGGTACTCACCCTTGCTTCTACACAATTGTGTAGGTTGACAGCTCTCTCAGATTCGGCTTAGTATTTTTCTTTAGCAGATTGAGCTTCGGGACATACTCGAGAGGTAGCGGTTCAATCCAGACGTGCCCTTGAGTTATCTTTACTTCAGTTTTGTTCTATTCGAGAACTATACTCTAGACTTGTATATTTTTATCGAATTCTGTATTTAGAGGTTTGTACATGTGACAACCAAATTCTGGGTAGTGTTGAGTCTTAATTAAAGTCTTCCGCTTATTTATTTCTTTTATTCTCATATTTCTACTTCTCTATCGTTGTGGTTGGGTTAGGCTGACGTGTCCGGTGGGAAATAGGACACGTGCCAGCACATCCGAATTTGGGGTGTGACAAAAATGGTCATGAATTAAGTGTCCTCCACAATTCACTTCTATTGAAGCAGTCAACTTACCTTTCACGCCCATTTTTTTTTAGATATACTAAAATATTTTACAAAGAAAGTGATGATAAAATAATTAGAAATCGTAGCCTTTATATAGATTTCACTTAATTGGACAAATAGTTATTATAAACATTATAAGACATAATCCAAGACATATCATGGAAAATTAGAGGTAGGCTGTTAGCCTATAAAATCCATATGGGGTATATTTGATCCTCCTCACACCTATTTTTTTAATTATTTTTCTTTTAACGACTAATTTTAATTTATTATTTTGGTGGTCAAATTTATCCATGTTTCATTAATTTTCTTGTAAAATTTATTATTTTACCTCATTTTTTTTCCAAATACAAAAACTATTTGACAATATAACGGAAAAATAGTTCTAAATTATAATATAGCCATAAAAAATTAGTTTTAATTTTTTTTTCTTTACATTAAAAATGAAAGAAAAAAATAAAATAAGAATAAGAAAATCAAATAATAATAATCAAAGAAGTCAAAAAACAATTTATATATGGAAAATTAAAATATATCTTGAACTTTGCTAGGAGGATCATATATACCCCTACTTAATTATTATTTTTAAAATTTACAGTCAAAAATATAAATTTAAAACTAATTTTTTCACTTTCGTTTGATGAAGGGTATATGTGAGCTCATTTTGCAACGGTAGGGGTATATGTTAGTCATTTGTATAACTGTAAGAGTATATATGAGTCAATTTCATAATGAGAGGCATATTAGCTGTAAATAGCCATATTCAAAGGTAATCAGAGCTTGGTAAATATTTGATAACGATCAAATAGTGTTATTTCCCTTGAATTGAATTAATTTGTCTTCACCCTGAATATGGAAAAAAATTTGTGGAAGTATCACACCTGAATGAGTTTTGTAGTGCGTAATTCAAATTTAGTCGAGTTCGCTTCAATATGAATTTCAAACAGGGAGTGAGAAAAAAAAAATTGATCTGCCTCACTTTGTCCTGTCCCATCCATCTTCTTTTCATTGCGATTTGTTTTCTTTTCTCCTGTTCTCCTATTTTTCCTCTTTAATTTCCTTTTCTCTTAGTTGGCTCCGTTAATTTTTTTGTTTTCTTTTCTCTTTTTGTCGCTTGCTTCTTTTAATTTATTCTTTTGATTTTAACAACAACATACGTTAATATCTCAAAAGGCCAGTTAATTTTAAGAATTTAGTTATTAAATTTTATTTTATATCAATAAAATTACTCAATTTAAATATTTATATGAATTAAATTATTTAACTAAATTTATTATTCAAAAAACATCTTACCTGACAAATAATTTTTTTTTATATCATGTAACATGAATTCCACAAATAAATAAAATTTTAAAAACTCATTAAAAAGTTTCAGGGGCAACTTAATTAGTGAACCAAATATTATGATATTATTGTACAATATTATGTCTTATATTTAGTAAATAAAATAAAAAATATTTTTTGTTAGTGAAACAAATATTATGATATATATATCATATCCTAAGGACTCTTAATAATTTAAAAACGTTTAATGCTTTTAAAACAAAACTATTAAATTTATATAATTAATTTATTGTGCTGTTGCACGTATGTCTTGTACAATATTATGTCTTATATTTAGTAAATAAAATAAAAAATAGTTTTGTTAGTGAAACAAATATTATGATATATATATCATATCCTAAGGACTCTTAATAATTTAAAACGTTTAATGCTTTTAAAACAAAACTATTAAATTTATATAATTAATTTATTGTGTTGTTGCACGTATGTCTTGCATCAATTAGATTACCACACATTTTAGAGTTGTCATGTAAGATATTTTTTAAATAAATTTATTTGAGTGATTCACAATAACAAAAACAACTTTTAGCGGCAATAAATAAACACATTAATAAAGAGTGTTAAAGTCTTTACCGGCAATAGTTAAGTGTTATTAGATACAATGTCGCTAAAGGTTTTAGGGACATATACAAAGAGTGTTAATTGCCGCTAAAAAACTATAGTATAGCGGCAATTGAGCTATTGCCGTTAATTAATTGCCGCTGAAGAACATTTTTGATGTAGTGATATATTATATAAAGACATTGGTGCCCATGCCGTCCAAAAACTAGAGCATATATGTCATTCACTCTAACAGAAGACTAAATAGGGACACGTGTCACAATCTTATCCCTTGATCCGATATTTAATAAATGTCGGGTCGGTGGATAAGATTATGACATGTGTATTTCTGTTAGTATAAAGGGTATATATACTCTAGTTTTTTGATGGCAGGGGCACCAATGTCGCTCAAAAGTATAACGGAGGGTATCTGCATACCATTTCTAATAGTTCGGGGGGCATATTTCTCATTTTTCCCTTCTTTTTTCTGATCTAAAATATTTTGTGGTAATCAAACACCGTCGAAAAACTTTTTCCTAAAAAAACTATTTTATTACTTTTGAAAAAGACCAAACACACATATAAGTAAAAAAATACGCACGTATTTTCATACATACATACAATATGAGAGAGAGTGAAGAAAGTTGTGTTACCAGCGTAATATTTCCAGCTTACTATCGAACCAATTTTTATGATTCCACTTTGATGAATTTCAAAATGATTGACCTTTACTAGGACTAATATTGGGTACATGATGAATATTAGAGTGAAAAAGATCATAAATTAAATGTCCATCACATTTCACTTCTACTGAAGCAGTCAACTTGCCTTTCACACTCATATTTTTTTCTGTTCGATGTAGCAAAATTAATGTTGTTGAAAGAATGTGGTGAGAAAATGTTTGGAAGTTGTCCTTATATAGGTTTTAATTGTGTGAAAAACCTACTTGAGATATTATACACAAAACATATAGGATCGTTATGTGGGGTGTATAAGATAGCGTGTGAATATGATATATTAGTTATGTTTATATTGGTTATGCTAATATTATTTCTTATGCAGTGTTTGTTCTGGTATATCAAAAAGAGAGAAGTATTAAAACACCCACGAACTTGGCGCGGATTATTGGTTTCATCTCTGAACTATTGATAGACTTAAAAACACCCTATATTTGACGAACTAAGCTTAAATACACCCCTCCCGGGCCACATGATACAACAAGTGATTACACTCTCCTTAAACGGGTGAAAAGTTACAAAACGCCACATCAGACTTTTTATTTATTTATTTTTTCATTCAATTTTTAATTACCAGCAGCTACTATAATACCCTTTTTCTTCCTATTTAACTTCTCCTCCATTAAAACTGACCTCAAAACAAGATTTAAGATGAGCAAAATATGGCAGCAAATGAAGCCCTAGAAAATTTCAAATTGAAATTTAATCCTTAAGACTAACGCGAACAAAACCCTAACAAAATAAAGAAAAGCAGATCCTTACCAATACTTTAATCAATGTTTTAAGCTTAAAACCCTTTGATTTCCATGGAAATCAAAGGGTTATGTTGTGAGATTGGAGAAAGCTTTTGGTAGGAAGAGAGGGGAGACAAAACCCCTCTTTATAAAATTTATTTTATGTTAATATTTTTTAATTAAAGAAATAACAAAATCCCTCTATTTTTATTTTTAGGAATTATATATATATGCCACATTAGTTTAAAATTTTCACGTGTAGCGCGTGAATGACACATTATTGTGTATGAAATGGGATAGTGTAGTTAAGCTTAGCTCGCCAAGTATAGGGGTGTTTTTGAGCTATCAATTGTTCAGGGATGATACCAATAATTCGCGCAAAGTTGAGGGTGTTTTTAATACTTATCTCTATGAAAATAATGTGTTCAATCATTCTAATTTTTTTTATTTACAAAAATACCTCCGCAAATATGGTGGAAAGTATGTAAAAGGTTTTGAGGGACACTTGTGTCTTTAACCATGCTAATACATGCTTTAAAATTCATTGCATTACTAATATCATGAATTTCTATCTATAAATTATACATACCTTAATACTAAATAGAGTGTATAACTAAATGCAAAGTAGTATTTATACATAAGTTGAAAAGTGCATTAAAGAAGATACTCATAATACACAAAATCATTACACCAATAATAAAAAATATAATTTATAGCAAAAAATACTTTTGAAATAATAACAATCAAAATTAATGCTCGAAGCATACATTTTTATGTCAGGGGCTTATGCCCTATGGAACTCGCCTTTACTTTACACTTCAAATTTTTTTTGATATACCCCGCCCTGGGACTCATTCAGAATTCTAAATTCCATGACCATTGATTTTAATTTTTATGTTCTTTCATTTAGGAATTTGTTCTTCTCTAGGGAGCTTTCTTATCAGGAAGCATATTTTTCAAGATTATGAATTTGAAATTTTGTATGGTTGAAAAATTTGACCAACAAGTGTTAGGCTTAAACAGATGAATTATAAAGATGAAGCATATTTATTATGTAAAAGTTGATGTTGCATTTATAGAATTCTATTCCGATGTCTCATAATGGATCAAAATTCTAAATATTCTTTGCAAGAATAAAGGTTCCCTTTGAAAGCGGGTAAATATAATTTTCGATTTCCCTTTCCATGTTTAAAATACCAATTTAACTACTCTACATGTGAAAGGTAACATTAATGTGTCTGCTAACAGAAATGATCCTATAAAGAAAATTTGAATTTAGTCGGTCCCAATACTAAGATCAAACATCATTGTGAGGAAAAAAAACACAAACACAATTATCTGTAATACAGTTTAACCTCGTTATGGTGATTTGCAGTAGTGTTTGTCTAAAAATTTCATATTTTCTATAGTGAGTTATTGTTATATATGTATACTGACATTTTACATTTAGATCTTAATATGTATTATAACAAAAGAATGCATTATTTGTTAATCAATTTAACCAAAAAAATAAAGAAAAGTTAAGAAGACAAACACAAAATCAAGCCCAATCCATCCAAGAATAACTGGCCCATTTGTTAACTCATTTCAATTCAGTTCAATTCATTAAAAAATGATTTAATATGTAGCCCAGACTGACTCATAAATTTTTTTGTCTATATATTTAT